TCGATGATATTTTCAAAATGCAAAGGTTCACGGACTTGTGGAATGTGCTATGTGTGTGTGTGATAGAGAGTTGCTCATTGTTCAGTAATAGAGTCACTTTCTTGATAGACTATGGTTCCTAATATTACTTTCTTTTTAAAATGTTTGTTTTGAAGGCAGAGCATCAGAGAGGGAAAGGGAAAAAGAGATCTTGCATCTGGTGGATCACCAAATGGCTACCACAGCCAGGCCTGAATGAGTCCAAAGCCAGGAGCCTGGATGGAACTCTCTCCAGGTCTCCCATGTGGGTGGCGGGGGCTTGGGCACTTGGGCTATCTTCCACTGCTTCCCAGGAACACTGGCAGGGAGCTAGACTGGAAGCAGGACAGCCATGTCTCCAACCAGCACTGCGATATGGGATGCTGGAGTTAGACGGTAGCCTGACCCTAAGAGGGCTGTTCTAAGGGGGATTACAGATGCCTGTGCGGCCCTGGACCATCACTCTGCCAACCTAATGTTATTTCTCCTCCTTAGGCTGTGCTACTCATGGTCGCCACAGTCTGTTACAAGAGGATCTCACAGGAAAAACTGTGAAAAGATCAAGAGTGTACCCTGTCTCACCCAGGTTTGTTAACTTGAACACCTCAGTTCATCTTTGCTTTTCTCAGTTTGGCATCCAAACCTCAGATCATGCAGTGAGATCGATATGGATCAGATTGTTTCCATTTATCCCTGTCATTCACGAGCAAGGTTCTAGATCAGAAACGATCCCCTTCTTGGCCGCTCTTGGATTTGAAAGGGCCAGACTGACGTCTAGCTTGACACACAATCCAGAGGGCTGTCTCTTGAAGGCTTGCATTGGACTGCAGCCCTGACTTTGAAGGAAACGTGCTCCAGCATGCTGGCTGGATCGGCCTGTGTAGCCGTGCAGCTTCCTGCCATCCTCACTGATACAAAGCTCAGTGTTTGCATGGTTTGCTTTTATAATTTGTGGTTTGGGGCTGGAATATTTTCTCATCAGAGTAAAAATACAAATCTTTTTTTTTCCTTGAAGTTTTCACAAATTTTTATTCACAACTGGGGTACTAGAGAGGAGGAGTTGCAACCTGCAGCCTTCCCTCCCTTGCTGGGGTTCAACCTTCCAACGCTGCTGCCATCATTTGCAGAAACACTGCACCATTTTAGGAATAGCCTCAGCATCAAGGTCAGATTTGTTTCTTCCACAAACACTGTCTATGGGGGTTCTTAGTTCTTTCAGTGTTTGTGTTCTGTCTGTCTCTCACATGAAGCAGGCACATAGAGCCACCCTCCATTAGCTCACTCCCCAAGTGCCTGTAACGGCTGGGGCTGGGCCAGGCCAACGCTGGAAGCTAGTAACTCATGCCAGGACTCCCAGGTAGGTGCTGGCATCCCAAATACTTGAGCCGTGACCTGCTGCCTCCCAGAGGACACGTTCGTTACAGGCAACTGGAAATGGGGAGGGCCAAGACAATAAGCAGGTGCCCTGATTTAGGCGACAGGCTTCCCAGTGTCTGAACCATCCTGTCACCTGCCCAACCCCAGGCCGTTAACTCGAACTTGCATACTGTAAATTTCTCCCAATAATTCGTGTCTCATCATGAACTATTTTCAGGGCCTGTGCTGTGGAAGCAGCCATGAGGTAACCGAGGCCATGGTCAGAGCTGTGTCTGAGGGCAGCCTGGCCATCTCGGTTGATTACTTACACTGTTGATTTATGAACACCAGGATTTCCAACATTTAATGTGTAATTACACACATTTTGTTGGTGATCAGTGGAGTGTTGCAGGATGGCAGATGTGGTTAAGTGAGCCATGTACCAACACAATAGACATATTGACTGAAGCCCCTGGAGTCAGACTTAAGGCTTTTCTTATCAGCATTGGATCTCTACCTCCAGGAACCAATTGGCCACAGTCTCGGTTTCCTCTACCACATTCCATCGGTTTATGATCCACAAAGAGCTAAGTACACGTTACTTTCCTTTAAGAAGACAATGCAAGTCTAATTATTATGTTTTCCCAGCTTAGCTTCTGTTTTTTTTTCCACCTTATTTCTTAAACTAGAATGTAGGTAAAAACATGGATAAAATGGAAACATATTTTGTAATCTCCTTTCTAAAGCTGTGAGAAATGTTTTGTGTCTTCCTTTTAGTCTGCATGCAATCCCATTATAGTATTGTCCTGAAATTAAAACCTAAAGGCTTTTACTTATTTTTTAGGGCTGAATCAATTTTATTTTCCCTCAGTCAGTAGGAACAGCTCTTGCCAAAGTTCTAACATCCTTTGCAGGTGTAATGAGTAAGTAGTGCAAGTTCACCATTTGAAGTCTCTCAACTCTGGCATTACCTGCCATTGGAAGTAGGATCTTCCTTTCCTGCTAATTAGCTAGGCATTACGTCATTTATGTATACTGAATTTGCAATCAGTTCTGCTTTAATGCTTATTGGGAATGATGCTAATTTGCTTAGAATCGATGCATTGGGAAACAATTTGAGCATAACATGGATTTTATTTTTGTTTACACGGGCATTTTGTCTGCAACAATCAGTAGAGGAAAACAGAAAACTGCCTGGCAGAGATGAGTAAGAACAGGTCCGACAGTGCACGGCTCCTACACAGCTCAGTTCTCCAGCACCTGCTCCCTCCCTCCTTCCGCGCCTGGAACAGCAGCCACAGCAACACAACTCATGCTCCATTTCCCACCCTCTCCACCACTTGATGCAACCCGTGAGCTGCGGGCCCAGTGCCACTGTCTGAAGGACATTCCCAGCCCTTCCAAGGTCAGCTACCATGTCTGGTGAGGTGTACCTGGGCTGCTGAACCATTCCACCTGTGTAAGATGCTGCTATTAGTTTGGTAAGATTCCCATCTATTTAAAAACTAATTTCCTGTGCAAAGCTGTAGAGGTCTGTGTCTCCAAGCTCATTTTTCTCAGCATGCATGTAGCTCTATTACATTCTCTAGAGGTCATCAAAAAGTCTCATGCGGTAACAAAAACTACCACAAACCCATCAGAGCACTTTCATCCAGAGTGGGACTAGGTCTTGCCAGATAACAGTCTAACATTATAACCGGAGTATTGCATGGTGGCTGTCACAGCACAGAGGAATCTCCTACTGCTGTGCCCCAACTTTCACTGTCCTTTGGGCTTGCTTCCCTGTCTCTAGCCCTCACAATGATTCCTCTGCTCTCCATTGCCGTCGCATTTATGCAAGAACTTGCAGCGTGGAGTGTCTGGGACATTGGCCGTCTTCAGTGTAACTCCCTGGGGATTGCTCAGACGCACTGGGTGTTTTACAGTGTGTTCACTTTCATTGGTGACACGTAATCCATGGTGTAGATGTATTGCGGAGTGTTCAACCACTCAGGTTGGGGCAACATCTGGGTTGTTTGCAGTAAAGTTTCCATAAAGAGCCACGTGAAACACAGGGCTAGGGATCGGTGCCCAGAGGAGACGTCTGTGGGCCCTATGAAAGTTGAATGTTCAGTTTATTGCAACGTGATTGGATTGTTTTTCAGAGCAGCTGGACCTCTGCAAGCCCACCAGCAAAGCTTGGCTAACCTCATTTCTGCAACTTCGCCCACATCTGATGTTGCTGTTCTGTGATTTAATTGGCATTTCTCTAGTGGCTGATGTTGTTGCACATATTCCTGTAGGTTCATTCTCTTTGTTTTCTGTAGCAGAATTGCTCTCCGTGCCTACCGCTGCTTTCTCAGTCGGACTGGATTGTTGGCTTGCTTTAATTGTTTCGGTGTCATAGAGTTTCCTGCATGTTCCAGAGACATCTTGTCCTTTCCAGGCAGTTGGTAAACTCCTTTCCTCCAGTTGAGGGCATGTATTTTCTTGCTCTCCAAGTCCTTCAAAGGTGAAAAAGTTTGCAATTTATCAATTTATGTTCTGGTTCATGCTTGGGTGCCAATTGAGGATTTTTTGCATAGCATGGTGGCTTTGAAGCATGCACTTGTGGACAAATGGAATGAGGCGCTGTTAGCACAGGGAATTTATCTTCAGATAAGCTGTCATAGGCACAATAAAATTATGAAAGTCCAGCTGAACTGCAGAGTTCCACCTGGACCATGTTTGAAGGACTGCTGTGTGCCATGTGGCATCCACGACAGCTTTGGCAGCTACCTGCTTAGCTTAACAATACAGATCAGACTGGAGGAGGAAGAGCCGTGCAAGTGCCAATGAGGAGTTTCATTCTGCTCACAACTGCACGGTAAATTTAGCAACTGCTCCTAGTAATGAGCAGGACAATCTGTCAGTGCAGCTGATGCACCTTTGTTAAAAGATCTCTTTATCTCCCTCGTTTTCAATTAAGCAAGCCTGAGTCTCCAGCCAGTTCCTTAGGGGAGACAGCATTCTGACTGAGAGAACAACCATTATGAAAAACTGACCTTTTTACCTCTTCCTGACCCAGGCTTTCCCAGATGGACATTCAATAATTTAAACTGAGTGCTACCAGCCTCTTAAAGCAGGAGCCGAGCGGCCATCATAATTTAACAGACGACAGCCCCTGTGCGGTGGGCTCCAGCCGCGTGCTCGCCACTGCGGGCATATCAAAGCTACCCTGCTCCTGTGGGTGCAGAGAAGTGACCTGGAGGTAAGGCTCTCCCACACAGAGGAAAGGGAGGGTGGAGAGTGAATTATCACATGAAACAAAGAGCACATTATTTGGTACATATGTTCTGGTTTACCCCCGTTTCGTCCTCTGAGCAAGACGGTCTGCCTTCAATTTTTCCAGGAGGCTTTTAAAATCCCTCTTTATAGTCTGGGCAGTCAACTTAATGAGGACCATTTGAGGAGCAGAAGGGAAATGATGTCATTTGGTCTCGTGCTCTCCTCTCCTCCCCCTCAAATCAGGCTGTCCCCCACCCTGTCTAGGACAGAAGCTGGGCACGCAGTCTCCAGGCAATCACCAGGCCAGCCCAGCCCTGCCTTGGACACCAGGTGCTGTGCCATGTGGCCAGACAGCTCCTTTCCTTCTTCCACCAGGCACTGGTGTTTACTGGGCACCCACGTGGCAGGTACGATGCTGGAGTTTAGGCTTGCACTCACAACAGCTCTGGAAGATGGGCCGTGGGCTTGCCTTATTCTGTGATAGCAGTGGAGCCCTGGAGGAGGCTGGTCAGTGAGGGCCAACAGCGACATTTTTAGGTATTGTCAGCACAGTCATCACTTAAAAATTGTACTATATCAACTTGCAGCTAAACAAAATCCATTCGAAGCACAGGAGGTAAGTAGAGCTTACCGATTCCTAATGACTCCACTCCATGGCATGGGCATCTGCGCCCTCAAGGCTCTGGGGGGAGAGGCTGCTAGTTGGTGATGGTGCCCCGCTGGCCACGTGTTCCCACTGACCCTGGCAGTATTCACAGCCGGGCAGTCAGACACATTGCACACAGGAGATGTCACTTTCCAGTAGGCTGGTGGCACTTCCCCGTGTCAGCATCATCCTGTAAATGATGGTGAATAGATGTTAGTCTTGTGCGTGACTTTGACTCAGGGAAAGCAATGCCATGGCAGACAGCATCTCAGGTGCCTTGGACCCCCAAACCTCATTCCATTCAGTGCATTCAACGAATCCTTTCGTTGATGAAAGCAGATGTGACATGGGCACTGTGCACACTCACGGCTGTCCGAGCGAGGGGGTGGGGCTCCAAAGGCAGTGTTGACATGAGCAAATGGGAATTCCAAGGAAAGTAATGTGCCCTAAGGAGAGAAGTGATTCACATAGGTGTGTTCCCAGAGCAATGGTGTAAGGCCCCGGGCTTCTGGGAGCAGCTCTGCATGAACACTGTGTTGTGGCCCTCCCACCCCCTGCAGGACTCTGCCAGAGAGGTGGCCAAGGGAGGAGCACCACGGACAGCATGTGAACTGTGTCCCAGGCAGTAGTGGGAGGAACTGTGCTTCCTGCCATCCAACACCATCGTCAAAGCTGGAGATGGCCCAGTAATCTATAGCCCGGCTGGCTCCCCACATCGGAAGAGTTGAGAAGCCCCAGGGAAAAATGGGGTGAGGTTGTTCAACATCACTCTCGCAGGGGCAAGAGACCACAAAGACTGAGACAGCAAGGGAACACGGAGGAGCTCCAAGTGCTTCCTGGCAGCGATGGCTGCGTGTCACGCACGGGAAGAGGACTGCGAGCTGATCTGGAGACACGTGAGTCTCCCTGTTAGTGCTGCACTTCCTTAGATCTGGTTGACCCTCCACCACCACTAGGTTGAAATGGCTGGACTAGAACCAAGACTGTTCCCAGGGATTGACCTGGATTCCAAGATGGGAAAGAAGAAGGCCAGAATTGATTAAAAAAAAATTCTTGGTGGGTTTTTCCCTGCTGTGTTCCACAGGATGGAAGTAAGATCAAGAATGTTCTGTCTGGACAGTTCCATTAAAGCACCCCTCCTGATGTGTGGATGCAATGACTAGCAGCTAGTGAGAGGCTCTTGGGTGGAAAGGGGCTCGTGGGAGCTACAGGTCTTAGTGCCACTTTCAAAATGATTGTTCAAATCACAAAATACCTGTGTCCCGCACCTTACCGTCTGCAGTGGGAGGCTTCCCGTGGCCCAGGAGCCTGGATGGCCACTGCACAGGGCAAATGTGGTTTCAGGTATCCAAGTGGCTAATGAGTCCATCAGCAGATCATCTCTTTTGGAGGCGATCTTCAGAGCAGTCCTTGCAAAGCAACCCGCCTGGAGGACGGTGCTGATGGCTCTGTAATGGCTTCAAGTGCCGGAGCACCTCTCCCATATGCTTAGCCGGTATACGCAGGAAGGAGCCCAGCTGAGAGAACTCGCTACAAATTCTGAGGGATTGCCATGAAGACATGTTTTGCCTTCCAGATTGCACATGCGTGTGTGCCTGAGACAGAGGTGCAGATAACTGATAGATCACAGCTCAGGGCTAAAGTCTGTTAATGCCAGCCCCTTCTCCCCCAGCGCTGAGAACACTAGGCATAGACCAAACATAATGCAAATCCTGCAAAAATGCTATAGCCACTAAGCCTCTTGGAAAGTAAATAATTCCTAGGCATTCTTAATGGTTTCTTATTATTGAATATAAAACATAGAACTTAACATGGAAGTGATTTTTCAGATTAGCTACCATGTAAGCACTGGACCAGAATTCATAAAAGCTCCAGGGAAACCCCTGCCAGTAACAATGGAATTTTTCACACATCACCAGGAAGTAGAACAAATAAGAGGGATGTAACTTTTCGGAGAAAAGCAACTTGATGTTCTGTTTACTTGACGGGTAGAAAGACAATGTTCTTAGCTTCTGGTTCTCTCCCCAGACGCCTGCCACAGCTGGGGTGTGAGCAGCATCCTGGCTGAGGGCCAGCATTGCAGGTCTCCCCTGTGGGTGGCAGGGACACACCACACTGAGCTCTGCCTCTACTTCCCACAGTTAGAAAGAAGGACACATTAGAGGCCAGAGCTGTGGTGGAATCCAAGCCATCTGATGTGAGACCTGAGTATCTAAACCTTTACATCATCATGCATGTGGAGAACCAAGGACTCAGCGCTGCCCCTGGAGTCCAGTGTGTCACGGCGGGACCAGGTCTCCCACAGCAGCTCCTCGGGGTTCCAGTAAGTAAAACCCTGATTTCTTCTAGGTCTGTGGGATTCTTAGGAGGAACTGTGATTATCACTGTGGTTAAACTGTTTTTAAGTCTCTCCCTGGATGACAAGACTTGAGCACGCTGGAAGGCAGTGGGTTGGAGGGTCACTAGAATGAAAGGGATTTCCCCAAGTCCTGTAACAGGTGTGTGTGAACTACCGACGTAGCTGATGGGCAGCAGTCATTCTGCTGGAGAGAAAGAAGAAATGTTATTCCACAGCTGTCTAGGGGGACATCCCATACCCCTGAGACAGATTTTTTGTGTAACAAGATACCCCTCAAACTTAACGTAGACCAGCAACAGAGGAAGGGAGATAATAGCAGTGGAAAATAGGAGTTTGTAATGGATCTGCTTCAAGGTGGACCATGGACACCTGGCTGTAGAGCACTTTCACTGTGCCTAGTGCAAGTTGAGAGGAGCTATAAACACTGAGGTTTGTGTTATTAATCAGACATGTTGGATATATCTAACTATGTTGAGACATGCTAACACAATTATATTTTGGATTATATATGTATAGTTTGCATCACATTTTGCTTTTTACAGTATGTCTGCTAGGACATTTCAAATCCAACGTGCGGCTCACACTTCCTACTGAGCAGTGCTGGCTCTGATACTTGGCTGTGCTTTTGTGGACGTGGGAAGATTTCTGTTTACTTGCATAGTGAGCACACAGAACTGAGCAAAAAGCAGGGCTGGGAGAAGACAAGGCGTATCTCAGGGTGCAGTGATCACTGGAGCCTGCAGCTCTGAGTTCCCAACCACAGATGTCCAAATCTAACAGTATCAGATCTGTCCTCCTTGTCACCCAAGCTTCCTCTCTCCCTCATTCAGCTTTTTGGGATCGATATGACTATGTTTTCACCACTCCTTCCTGCCCACTCTCAGAGCAGCTGAGCAAAGAACATGAGCAAGATCCTCAGGCGCCACCACCACCAGGAAGCTTTGGAGACTGACAAGCTCCAGTCATCACGCAGACACGGGGCTCCCAGCAATTGCCATAGTCGCCTTTCAGCAGAGCCTCAGTTTTGGTGAGGTATCCAATAGGTTGATGACTTAGCAGGAGATTCGGTAATTCCCCCATATAGCCAGCACTGTGCCTTCTACCTCTAAATATTTACCCTGGATGCACAGAGGGGACTGTTCCTAGCCACAGTGTTGGCAATAGGCTAATTGCTATAGGAATGGTGGGGAGGGGTAAGTTATAACATACAACATGGCACAGTGTTGCAGATGAGGCTGATGGTGGGACACCACCACATCTGATTTTGTAAAGAAAAGATTCATCACACATGCCCCAGCTGAAGAGGACTGCAGCTTCTATCGCAGGTTTCTGTACTGGTTAAGCTCGTATCATTCTGAGTCAGAAGCCAAAGTAGAACCACTTTTTAATTGTTGTTGCCCCACCCACCTCGGCCGCAGACAAAGTAGAACTCGCGATGATACTTTGACTATTTGGGAGTCAAGGTCAGAGGGTAATGTGGTCCTACCAGTAGGATGCCGAGGAAGCATGCTCAGAGCAATGGCTAATAAGAGGTAGAGGTGGTAGGTAAAGCAGAAGAGCACTTGAGCTCAAAAGCTTTGGTGCCAGTTTTGGGGGTGATTCCTAAGGTGTTTTGCTTGCTGACTTCAGGAGAGACTGAGAGAAACACCTGCTTGTTACTAGAGTGATTTGAGGAAGTTAGCCCAAGTCTGCATTAGTCTTCACCTCCAAGTTCTCCATCACCACAACACTGCTGCGCATTGCTCTCGCCGAACAAGGCGAAGGCGGCCAGGAGATCTCAGAAATGCTGCTCAGAACGACAGCCTGTACAGAAGTTGGTGGCAAGGGGAGAGACTAAGGAAATGTCTTGGATGATTCCAAAGAATTGCAGGTGACAGATGTTGAGGGTGGATGGCGGAGTGGGAGGAATCAAGGATTACCCCTGCGTGTCTCGCAGTAAACCATTTCTCTTTGCAGGGACAGCATCTAAAAAAGTCAAACCACGCACTGAACCAGAGCAATCCCACGCTCCAGTGCAGCAGTCTGCTCCCAGGCCCCTGGATTACAAGGGCTCTCAGCACCCTATGGTAAGCCGGGAGGGTTACATAAAACACTGTGCAACATGCTAGGAATGGGCTGTCTGGATAGCTCACCATCAGCATCTGATGTAGTGGAAGGGAAAGAAACCCAACAGATGGGGTAAGCAAAGACCATTGAATATCAAAGTCGAAAATGTTGAATAGGGAGCATTGTTCAAAGCATCCTTTCTAAGCTCTCCCCGGACTCCTGTCTCAAATCTCCATGAGAGCAACAGATGACTGTGGAAGGCAGGTGAAAAAAATCCTAGCAGACACCAAGTTATCACATAAATCAGGCAGCGTGTTAACATACAAGGGGACTTGAAAAAAATTTTTTTGTGAAAAACTGGAATTAAGAGAAATTTATTTTGCTGCAAAAAAAAAATTCTGAAATCCATGTATTTTCACAAAACACAGTTTTTATGAGCTTTTGAAGCTCCCTTGTAAGTGTAATCCCTCACCAAAAGACTGCTTGGAAACTGTGTGAACAAATGTGCACACACAGCAGCTTGCTCTGTGTGGGAGACAGTGAGTGGATTCATACAAGTGTGCACGTAAGGTCCGATCACTCTCTCGGAGCTGGGACTGCCTGACAGTTTTACCTTTAGAACCTGAGTTTCACCCAGCCCTCCAAGCCACTTTCTACCAGACACAGAATTTAGCTCACAGCAGCTTGGGGTCGAGCACTTTCCAAGCATCACACACTCTGAGCCAAGAACCACACGCTGCACAAAGCTCGACTCCCCAGTGCGTCAGCACACTATTATTCTTTAA